GAGCTGCCGGAGCTACTATTGTCCAGCTTTGACAATCAGCAAAGATGTCTCATGTGGGAGGCTTTGGCCACCTCTTGCACCTACAGTGCAGAAAGGTGCATGCACTTCCCAGGAGAGGTCACACGACAGCTGCAATCCTAACGCCTCTGTGGAGAAGCCCGGTGGGTGAGTGCACCTGGCAAGCCAGCCGTGGGCACGTCTTGCATCACATGTGGTGAGCCTGGGCCTCCATAGGCCAATTTTAGATGTTCTGAATGACTTTACCTCCATCTAAATCTGCTATGATTATTTTTTCTGCTGAGCACCCATCCTTGCTTGTCTGCTGGTCCACCACCCAGTAACCCTGCCTGTTGAGATGATACGTATGTGCATGGACCAAGCAATGAAGGTCTTCTAGGAAAAATGAAAAGGGTTGAGATCTTTATCAAACAACCAGCACAGCCAGAATGCCTGGGCAATAAAGTGTCTTACTATATAGGAGTTGGATGCTGAGAGAGGGGCACGCACTGTTCATGGCTCCCAGGATGCATCTCTGAGAAGGGCATGTGGGGCTGTGTAGGGCTGCGGAGAAGGTGGTAAAGCCCAGTATTCATGTGGGAGGGGATGAGCATCTGAGCCCTTTGGGATCTGGTGAACGGACTAGTGGAAGGTGCATTAGTTAATGTCTGGACACAGTAGCAGTGCCTGGTCACAGCAGCACATACGGCAGGGTGGGCAATTATTTTGGCTGGTGGGCCACTTAATGAGTTTTGTTGAACTATCAAGGGCAGTACACATAAAATCTTTCAGAAGACATAATTTTAGCAAATTATAGATAAAAAAGAGATCATATATTAAGAATCAAACACCTACTTGCAACATATTTTCATTTGATTTAAAAATATATTTTTGTCCTGATTTATGTTTTATTTATGTTTTATGTATATAGAGGTGATTGCATAATGGCTCAAAATAAAGTCTTACTTTTGTATATTGTGTGTATGGGGGTGGGGATGTGTGGGAGGGTGAGGGGTAGAGAGGGCTGTGGGGTATGTGGAGGGGTGTGGGGGCAGGGGATGGGTTTGGAGGACTGTGGGGTGTGTGTGGCGGGGTGTGGGGGGTTGGTGTGTGTGAGTGCGGGGACATATGTGTGTGGGCAGCTGCCCATAGGCTACATCTCAGGACCCAGCTTGGGGCGGGGGAGGGAAGGAGGGCAGGGGCCGCATACAGCAGAGCTTGCCTGGATGGTGCAGTGCAGGTACAGGTGCAGGTGTGGTATGCCCCCACATCTGGCCTGTGGCTGCTCCCGCAGCCCTCTGCATGGGGCCAAGCCTACCCACTTCCACCTGAAGCAGCTCATGCCACACTCCCACCTGCACCTGCCCCACGCCCACTGATGGCACTGCCCTGGCTCTAGCTCTGGCCCCACCCCTGGCCCTGGCCAGGATGCACAGCTCCCTGGCGGGGCCACCTTCCAGCCCCTCCGCGGCCTGCAGGTGGCTGCTCGTTGCACTGGGCAGGCAGAATGTGTGGAAGGCAGCTGGGAGCTGGAGCCCTATCCGGTGGTAGGATCCACCTGACTGCAACTTACCACTGCCTGCTGCCACTTCCCCGTGCTACCTGCCTCCCGGAGCCATGCAGCAGGGGCAGGAAGAGGAGAAGGAGCAGCTAGAGGTGGGGGGAACTGAGCAGTACCCAGGTGGTTAAGGCAGCAGTGGGAACAGCCCTGCTAGGAAGATACGCATGCTAGCTGGGACTGGAGATGAGGCCAGGGCCGGGGCAGGCGCCAGGGCCAGGGTGATTCCATTAGTGGGCATGGGGCAAATGCAGGACAGCAGGCTGCCCCAGATGGGGCTCAGCCCCATGCAGAGCTCTGCAGGGGCAGCTGGGGGCCAAATACAATCAATTGGTAGGCTGGATCCAGCCTGCGGGCCACATTTTGCCCACCCCTGACATCCAGCATGGGCTAACGCAAAAAACCCGGTCACTTATAGCCTTCTTCTGGGGCTCTGGTGCTGAGGAGGTCTCTGTTGATGGCGACAGAGTGGCTTGAAGGTGGTCAGGGTGGTTTCTTTGGATTTAGGAGCTCTCCTGGGTAGAGATACTGGCCCATTGGACTGGGATCCTGTTAAATTCTCCCATAATACGTTGTTGTGGCACTCTTGCGGCTTGAGCAGGGGTTGGCGTTATCAGTCCCTGATAGCTTTCTACAGTAGCTCATGCTCCGCTATCTTGACCCTGCACTGCTGCCCATCTTACTGAGTCGCAGCCACCCACCTGCCTCGTGATGGCTCCACATGCATCCTTGTTCCAATGGCTTCTGCTCCTCTCCTGTATTTCCCTCCCCCAACATACAGTGAGGTTGAGCCATGCCTCCTCTTCCAGCACTTGGCTAGAACAGGCCCCTTCTAGGAAGACACAAAGGAGCCTCGAGGTTGGAGAGTTTAAATGCATGGGGGGTGGGGGGAGAGGATGTTTCCAAGGATAGGGACAGAAATGACACATAAATCGGTACAAGTGATTGGAAACCAATTCACATCTGTAACATAACAGAAGTTCAATGCACATAAACTGCTTTCAAAATGGCTGAAACCAGTTTAAGATTAACCTGGATGGATGTAACATCAGACTTAAATGAATCTCTGGATTTAAATCTGTTCACTTGTTTATCGGTTCAATCTGCACAGCTTAGACTAACCCAGAAAGATTGAAACTATTCAGCCTTGGGCTTTTTAACTGTCTGTACTTAGCCCAAAAGAAGGTCCCAGTCCCCGGAGAACGGGAGTGAAAAAGGACTGATTCCAGTTTCACATCAGATTTAAAGGGAGGGTGGAGTCACAGCTGCTCAATGTGACCCACAAGCACGGGAGACCAGAAGATGACCGGAGCGGCTATGTCAACGAGAGCACAAAATAGTGTGGGATATGACTTGGTGGACCAATTAACTATGTCAAGGAAGGGCTGTGGACAAAGGCTGATGGGATTGATACATTGCATATTTGTACGGATTGAACTGTGATTTGTCCAGGACAACGTTTGCCACCAGTGGGGTGGAAATAAGTGAGTTTGCTCCCTGATTTAATATCCGGAGCATGTCTCATCTGTCTGCTGCTTCTCTGAGTTGGTAGTATGCCACATTTCATTGTTTAAATGTTTTGTTTGTCTATGCTCTGTGCCGCTTAATTATTTCCAAGCATTTCACTATGAAACAGTTTGTGCCAGCATATGCAATTAAAGAAAAAGATAACACAATCGAAATATACAACTGAAGCGAGCTGTGTTATACACCCTACATGTGCTTCAGACAGATACAATATCATCTTCACCAAAATATTAAACAATATAACGAGGTAATTTAAACCTACTAGAATTAACAACCTGAATTCATTTCCATTTGCTGGTTCTGTAATTAAATAATAAACCAAAATATCACAATCCCTGATATTAAATGTGAATTCATTTTCTTAAGAGTTTATGTCTAAAATTATATTACCATGTTTTATTTATTTAGGGTTTTGCACTGCTTGCCTGCCAGATTGAAAAACGTTCAGCGAGGAACAAATTAAACCCAGAGCCTTATTCACAGATGCTAGGGTTGGGAGGGACCTCAGTAGGTCGGTGAATCCGACCTTCTGCCCTGGGTCATGACCCCAGCCAGGTGCCCGTCCAGTCGAAATCACTGCATATTCTAGTCTAGGCTAGTCTCATCTGATTCTTTTACAACTCTCCTCACCATAGCATTTGAACACCTACCACATACCTGTTTAAGAAAGATCACAATCATCTTTCCCTTCTATTGCTCCATGGGAAGATTGGGGATACTATGTTGTTAGTGATAGGAGAAACAACACCAGATTGTTTCTATTGGGTCGTTTTTCCAGAGGCCGCAGTTAGCGCTCTGGCTGCCAAAAATCACAATTGGTTTTGATCCTCACCGCGCTACATGGTAAAAAGAACAGCTATAAAAACACACCGCCTCTACATGGCTTGACTCCCAGCGTTGTCTCCTTTGTTTACCAGGGTCAGACATATCTGGGATTTTTACATAGAATAAAGAGGCATTTTTTAGGGGCTAAATAATATCCAAGGCAATCCATTCTTATACCTTCAGGCATGTAAAGTTGAAGTCAATCGCCACTAACCTGTGTCAGTACCTTACATTTGTGCGGGTTTTTGATGTGTAAATGTGCCGTGTCTGTTGTTCTTCTCCAGTGCAGGGTCCTCTGAGTTAACCTCTCTTCCTTTTGCATTTGGGTTGCCAAGGCAGGCTCCCTGTACAAGCACCGTCAGGCAGCATCTTGACATCCCGACCATCTCATCCGCTGCGCTATTTGCACAGCTGTGGCTAGTTGTGCCTGCTCTGGGATCCCACATTGCTTTTTGCTGTGTGAACAGTTCACCTCAAAGAGCTGGTACACGTATCTGTCCCGGAGGCTGCGTACTTTCCACCGGACAGGCGCCTTGCTTGCCCATGACTACTAACAACCGGTAGCTGTGTGTGAGCAGGGTTAAACTTTTGTACAAGAGCGAGGGTCTGAAAAGCAGAACTTCCCCTACCCGCCACAAGACTTCCCTTCCTAGCACCCCATCGTGCTCTTGCCTAATGCGGTGTAAAGGGGGTGTCATCGCACTGATTAGCCAGTTATTTCAGCACCCTGTGGCCAGTGGGCAGACAGGGTCTGGTTTTACTTGCGCTACGAGGCCGTCCGTCGTGCCCAGCTGAGAGCAGTGCTCCCCTGCGCCGGACACACGACCACTTTGTATTACGGGACAGACGGACGCACTTACACCGGTACTAGATGTACTAGACACAGCGGGGAAACCAAGGCATGGGGACGAAAATGTCTTTGTTATACCCCCAGGTCTTCTGACTCTCAGACTAAGGCCCCATCCGCCAGCCCCTGCAACCGAATAGGACCGTCTGCTCCTGCCCTGTTTTCCAAGGTTCTTCAATCCAATTAGACTGCTGCTCTTTTCGACGACGTGAGCTGCAATACAGATGCAACCAATCTGCTCTTTTATTTGCAAAAGGGAGACGGGGGAATCGGGGAACCCAATAAGTACTGCACAGCTGCTGCACTTTACATTTCCCATGGAGACGCAAACAAATCATAGCCCGTATGTGGCACAGCGACGTTTTGGGAGAGGGTTTTTTTCTTTCTCTCTTTCCGGACTGTTTACTTTATTTCCTCTTGGCTTATTCTCCATCAGCTCAGCCCTAATTACAACCCAAACACTGGCACCGCAGAGGTTCTTCTCATTAGCTTAGCAAGAGTATCTGGCGCGGGCCAACGCGCAAACAATTTTGGGAACAGTTCCTATTTGTTTCCATCGCTCCTGTCATTTGAATGTTAATTATCCTTTTCATAAATACTTAATGTCTTCATTACATTGGAAACGCATTTTGGTGGCAATGCTTCTGCCTCCCCTATTCCCCCGCCCCTCCCGCCCACTTCTTATGTCTTCCGCAGAGCAGCAGCGAACCTCAGCATTCCCCAGCGCCGTTCTGCAAAGGTCGCCTGCGAGGATTATTGAAACGTGACTCGTTCTTGGGAAACAAGAATTGGCAAGCACGTCATCTTCCTGGCCACTAGAGAAAGTAGAAGCAACCAACAGCTGAGATCATCCTAGATGTGCCAGATTAAAAAATGTTCAGTGAGGAACATACAGAATTTGGGACACAATGGGTAGGCCCTTGGCCTGGTATTTGGGAGAACTGGATTCAAGGTCTAGCTCCCCTATAGCCTTCCTGTGAGCACATGGCCAAGTCACTAAGGGCAAGTGGCCCCAAGCCTGGGCCCACCAAGGAGACTCAAGCTTTCCTCGCTTGCTCCCACCCTGCACACACCCAAATAATTAGGTAGAGGAGATGCCCCGAGTGCATGTCTTAAGCATTGCACCCAGGTTGTCTGCCTCAAGGAGAAGGGAATGATTGCCATGGGTGCTTGGGGTAGCAGGGGACTGGCTCAGTGATCCTGGAGGTCCCTCCAGTCCTGTGGTCCCATTTCTAACTTGCATTTCCATGCTGGCTGTGATGCTCCTGGTTTGGATCCTCCTGCTTGCAAGAGGACCGTGCATCTCGCTTTTGTCTGGCTAAGGGGGACTCCAGTGAGCTCATCCTAGTGAGCAAGAGGGCATATCTCTTGTGTCTTCTCTCCCTGGCAGCAATTCCTACGGCGTGGATGACCTGTGTGTTCAAAATCAATACCGCAGCGCTTTACGAGGCCACCTTCACGTTAGGAAAGAGCTGAGTGGAGATGCTAGGTTTTTGGTTGGAGCTGGGTTGGTCTAAGGCAAGGGTGGGCAAAATGTGGCCTGGGCAAAATTTTCTAAAAATTAAAAAAATTAGTATTTATCTGCCCCTGGCTACCTGTCATGCAGCCCTTGATGGCTTACTAAAACTCAGTAAGCGGCCCTCTGCCCAAAATAATTGCCCGCCCCTGTTCTAAGGACACAGGCAGGCAAGGTTCATTGAGTAGATGCGATATCTTTTATTAGACCAACTGAGTAGTTGGAAAAAAGCTCTTTGCAAGCCTTTGGGCGCAAACACCCTTCTTCAGGCGTAGGAAGTCTCTGCTCTTCTGAGACTTCAAGGGAGGAAAGAAGCTAAAAGTGGGACAGGATGCCAGCGAGAATGGAAATAGGTGGCAATTAGGAGAACAAAAGGTAGAGAAGGGAGTGAGGATGGAAGATGGAGATGCCAACACTTGAGGCATCGTCTTTCCTCTGCTAGCTCAGCTGATGACCCACCATCCTGTACCCACCAACCTTGCTCTCTGTTACACCGTGATGGAAAACTCCTTGCTGGCCCCGGCAGCTAGGCTTACCTAGTGTTGAGGCCTACTCTGAACCATTTAGCCCTGCTGGTGTTTTCATTCACATCAATGTATTGATCTTTTCTTTTAACTTGCTAAGCTCTTTCTTTCCCTTGACAGACCACCACTAACTTCACTGTCTGTACTTGATTAAATGAGAGCAGATGCCTACATGGATTGCAAACACTTTGAGGCACTGAAATCCTCAGTTTCTAAGTGTGCAGAGCTGCTAGCCCCGTGAGGTCCTTATTCATAATTAAGGCCATTAGCTGCTACGGGAACGGAGAGTAATGTTGAAAGGAGGTGGACTCCTCCTGCTCTGAATCCTGAGTCCTGTTGTCACTCATCACACCATTTTGGGGCAGATTCATAAAGGGTTCGTGCTACAGCTATGGACATAGGAGCAGAGTGACCCAGTGAAAAGCACCTCAGCTGTTTGCACAAGGGTGTGCAATGCAGCAAAAGTCTGGCCCTCCATGGCACATGGAGCTATAGCTAACGATTTCCCTTTATCGCCAACCATGAAAACATAAAAAGAATCAACTGACATTTTACTGACCAGCTGGGGGGCTTTCCCGTCCATTTTGCTGCCTTCTGGGTCACTTCCAGGCGCTCAGCACTCCCTCTAGAAATGTGACCCTTTCAAAGTCCGTTTCTCCCGGCTTCCCGGCTGGTTTTGCAGCTCTTGTCGTATTATCTCCGAAATGCCGAATGCGGTGATTGAGGCTAACATCGTCTCTGCGAGGTATAAAAGGAATCTGGACTGGAAATGTTCATAAAGGGTTCGTGCTACAGCTATGGACATAGGAGCATAGGGACCCAGTGAAATGCAAAAGAAGTCGTTCCCTCATGTAGGGCCCAGCCCTGTCCTCAGTGAGACCAGTGGGACTTTCACCTGCCTACTACGGTGGGAGACAGATCAAGACCTTACGCTACTGTAGTCCCATTGAGACCAACCCATTTGCTTACCTTGCAAAGACATCCTTCTGCTGCCTAATATTAAATATTGGAGCCTAATTCTCCTCCCATGGACACCAGCATATTCCTACTGGAGATACTCCTGCCTTACGCCCGTGCACTCAGTAACTCCATTGACATCCCCCCCCCCATTTTACACGGAGATGACTGAAAGCAGCACTGGATGCCGATACCGGTGCTGGCAGGTTATGCAGCTCATTATGCACAACAACAACGAGCAATCGATTAATCTTCGCTTGTCCTCCTCGGTCTATGTGCTGCGGGGGGATTATTTGAGATTAACTAGGTTTTTTCCCCATGGCTGTTTGCAAGCAAAGCACTTTGCCTCCCCAGAGAAGGGCTGTGCATGGGAAGTTGGGGATGGTGGCTTGCATATTTAATACCAAGAAAAAGAAGAATTAGTTTTGCAAGGTAAATGATCATTACCTTTCAATAATACATGAGCCTGCCTCTGCTGATCCCTGCCTCTCAAAGGGAGCAATGATCTAAAAAAGAAATGACAGGCAAGGATAAGGACTAAAGATAACCTTATAGCCAAATTACTCTAAAAATGCTAACCATTTAAATATTTAAGTAGCTTTTTGGTCATTCCCTGTCGTTAAGGCTGAGATTTAAGGTATTAAACTCATGCTAAAGAACACCGTTCAAATCTGTTCCAAGAACCCATGCCCTGCAGATGGCTCCAAAACTTTCCTTGAGACACTGGCCTTTGGTTTAATGATAATCACTCTGCTAAGGAGCCTGAAAAAAGGGTTAGGAGTCAGAGGCTTAGGTGATATAAAGAGAGGCTCACAGGTTTTGGCCCTCGGTTTATAATCGGATTCAGCTGTCCAGCAATAATGCGCATGTATCTGATGAAAGACACCAAGCAAATATCCTGTCTTTCTGATTCTCATGCAGCTTGAAAAGTCGACTCTCTATCTGCACCCAAATATAGCAGGGGGAATTCGCCAGCCTGCCCAGATTGCCACCCAGCCCTACCGACAGAAGTGGTATCAGATCTCTTGTGCTTATGAGAATAAATAGTCATCCTTTCCTGTCTGCTTAATATAAACAGCTCTCTAATACTGATGTCGATACAGCACTAACCACCATGAGCATCTTGAGGAGGGGGCAACTAACTCACAGAAACAGAGACACTGCTTAGCATATGCAAGAAGAGGCACAGGATACAATGGATGATACTCTGCAAAAGCCAGCAGAATTTGGAGAAAGAGGGCGATGAAAGGACCACTGGGTCAGATGAATGCCTCAGAGGAGCAATGCACCATAGCTCAGCACAAAATCAATGGACAGTCAGTCTAAAGGCCACTGGCTCACTTACCCCATTTAGTTAGGACACTGGTGCACAAGCCATAAGTCGCCAGATAGACTATTAGTAACTCCAAGAGAAAAGCCACAAAACACAGAAAATAAATGGCTGAAACTCAGAACTTGCTTATAAAGTTGAGCTTTTGCCCCGCAATGGGAGTAGGTGACCAACACATTGGAAAAAAGATGCACTTAGTAACAGTACGGGGGAACAGCAGCCGTTGTTGGTGTAAAAGCATGGCAAGCCTTTGGACTCATCAAGAGAGTGCGTTCATTGGAGGCTGGGGGCCCCAAAGAGGAGATCCTCTAGGAAATGGTGAAACCCTCAAGAAAAAATTAAATAGAGTTGAAAAGGCCCAACTGTCCGAACAGCTGGCCTCTGGGAAATTTTCTCGTCTTATGGCAAGAGGCTAAAAGTGGAACTAGACAGTCCCATTCCTTTGGGAATCAGAGAGCAGGTAGAAGATCCAAGCATTGCCGTCACACTCACCGGTCAGCAAAGAAAAGGGAAAAAATCAGAAGTTTTCACGGACACAGACCTTCCTGAGAATACAAATATTTTCCAGTTCCAAGGGCATGCTTTGAAAATTGAATATGAACCTGGTGGTCGCCGACATATTTTTTGATAGATCATCACAAAACGGTGGCCAAGAGCAGAGCTAGATCTGTACTGATCCGTGTAACTAAGAGAAAACTGTACGGTCTTACCTGGAATGTGGAGAGCGACTGCCAGAGCTGCTGCGGAGAACGAGACCCTGCAGAAATGGATTATGCATATTAGCATAGGGTTGCTGGGACCACGCGTTCACAGCTGCAGTAGACACAGGATGCTGAGAGCAGACGGGCCAGTGGTCGGCTGCCTTTCCTACGTTGTGCACTCTGGTGAATCTTGAATGCATTGCAGTGAGGAAGCTCAGCCTCAGCCTCTGATGCTCAGGGGAGCTTACAGGCGTGGTCTGGACCACTGCTAGAGAACAAACCAAGGGGTTATAATGTGAATTGTCTAGTCAACCGTCTTGGAGCACAGAAGATGGCTATATAAACCCTCCCTTAGGACAGGGTGTAGGTTGTAGCCATGTTGGTCTAAGGACATAGGTAGATAAGGCTCTGTGAGTAAATCTGATATATTTTATTAGACCAACTCAAATAGTCAGAGAAATTTTTCTTTGCAAACTGTCAGATACAAACACCCTTCTTCAGGCTGAGGAAGCGTCTGCAGTTGGTCCGTGCTCTTCCTGGAAGACGCTTCCTCAGCCTGATAAAGGGTATTTGCACCCGAAAGCGTACAAGTAAGAATTTTTCCAACTATTTGTTGTCTAATAAAAGATATCAGATTTACCCAAAGAACCTTGTCTTCCCTTGGGCAAAGCTTTTGACACAGTCTCCCACAGCAATACTGCAGAGAAGGACCTAGGGGTTACAGTAGACCAGCGATTCTCAACCTTCTCCACCTTACGTTCCGCCAACCATTGGTCCCCAAAACTCTGGTCCCACCATGATAAATGACAAGTGTGTGTGGGGGGTGTCCCCTGGCAGCTGGTCGATGAGCAAACTTGGAAGTGCCGGTGACACACGGCAGCGGAAGCGAACCCAGACATGCCCGCGGCGACCCCACTGCTTCTCCACATCCCACCTAGATGGCCTTTGCATCTCACCAGCGGGACGAGTCCCACCGGTTGAGAAACACTGCAGTAGACCATAAGAAGAATGGAATTATGCGAGAGAGACAACAGCATGAATTTTTTTTGAAGATAAGAGATATCACCCAAAAATATCCTTGTCTTTCATTTTTGAGAAAGGCAGTCATGGATTTGGGCACCTGACATGGTAGGTGGGGGGCTTGACTAAACCCTCACAGAATACCTGTGGCAAAGAAGGAAGCTGATCTCTCAAATGCCGGGCTGATACCTGAGTCACTGGACCAGTCTTTCTCTCCCAGTTGAGGGACTAAGTAATGCATCTTTGACTGCTGACAGAGTGCTACACACTCCTTTTATTTCCCTAGGTCTTCCCAATCTCCTTCAATGCCATTAATCACATTATTTCAATTAATGAACCTGAACTGCTGGTCCTGAGCTAATGTGTTATTAATTGGATCGTGTTGGATCTGAATGATATCAAGTGTCATGTAACTATGAGCCTTCATCTTTTGTTTTAAGCCCCTTTCATTTATCTAATTTCTCTTCAGGAGTCACCAGAGTCCAATTCCACTTTCCTTTTACATCCATCTTTTAAGCAACTGAGTAGATTTGTGGTATTGTCTGGTATCAGTTACAAACAGAGAAGAGTCGTATTTAACTCGCTATACTGTACTTTCTCAAGAAAAATCAATGATTGTTTACATTGCCATTCCACAATCCCTATTTTAAAGTAATTCATGGCAGGGACAAAGTCATTAATTTTATTAAGCTGTTATTAGTGGGCAGATATTATTCTGCTCCATTGATCCTGAGCTGATGCAATTACCACTTATGAATTTAAGGCCATACATTTTCAAATTTCAATTTTGTTTGCAACCTAAATCCATACATTAAAAATGCACCAGGCCAGGCTGTCTCATGGCATAATCGGGTTTGCCCCATTGATTCCACACAGCTCTGTTGATTTGTACCTGCTGCAAATCTATTGAAGTCTTATCCCATATAATATTTCTCAAGCTGTGACCGTATTACTGTGACCATTTTAAACTGGGTCTATGTTTGAAAGTGCCATGTTTCAGGGAGCCGACTGCTGGCAAAGAGCTCCAAATATCCTCTTCAGGAGCCTCAAAGATAGGGCCAGAAATGACACATAAACTGGTATAAGTGATTGGAAACCAGTTCAAATCTGTAACACAACAGAAGTTCAGTGCACATAAACCACTTTCAAAATGGCCAAAACTGGTGTAAAATAAACTTAACTGAGTTAGGTTGAATTGATTTATTCAATTTCTGTCCCCAGTCCCTCCAGATTCAAGTTAACTCACAGTCCCCCAGCATCCCAGGATTCTTTGTACCTCCTCTACAAACCCTCCTCCCAGGGTGGGTGAGTTAGCCTTGGCCCAAGCTGGCTGTTCCTGTACAGCAGGGTGGTGTGCTCTAGCGCCCCCTGCTGCTGGCCTGAGCCACTGCAGGCATGTGGTTGCATTTCCTAAATCAAAAGTGAATGTCTATTTACTTGCTTATTGGTTCCATCTACGCAGCTTAGACTAACCTGCAAAGACTGAATCAATTCAGCCTTGGGCTTTTTAACTGTCTGTACTTAGCCCAAATGTTGCTAGTCACATAAACCTGGTGGTGGTGTTTTCCTTGATCCTTCTGGTTGTGGCCTATGGGCTGAGGAGGGAGAGGAGGATTGAGGTAGTTAATCAAAGACTGCGGCGCTGGTGTCATCGTGAAGACTTCGGCTTCCACAATCACAGTCCGCTCTTTGGTGAGAGAGGCAGTGGTCTGCTGGGAAGAGACCGCCTCCACCAC